AAAAAAAAAAAAAAAAAAAAAAAAAAAAAAAAAAAGAACCAGCAGCGTGGAGTCTTCAGATTTTGCTTATCCTCTCTGGCCCTCACCTGTCCTGTCTACCATATCACCTTTTGAGATTCTCAGGCCCCTGCCTAAACACACTATGATTCCATTAATAACTCAGGATCAGCTCTCCATTTCAAGATCCTAAATTTAACCTCATCTGTAAAATCTGCTCTGTTGTAGATCAGAGCAGTATCTTTACAGGTTCTGGATAGTAGACTGTGGGGACCATTGTTCAGCTCACCTTACCATCTCTATTCTCTGAGGACAGAATAGTCTTAGCCACCAGCACTTTCTTCCTGCCATGGCTTTTGGCCTGTTCTGTTACTTACCAGCTCCTGTGTCTGTCCCCTCAGCTACATTGTGGATGCCTTCAGAGAAGAATCCAGGGCTTAACCTGGGCAATGTGTAGGATGGTGGCTGTGTGTAAAAGAGGCTCAGTAAGCACTGGGTAATCGTGAAGGATGAGCTGAGTTGTGGCCTTAGCAAGATACTTCTCCCTTGGAGCTCAGTGTCCCCATCTGTGAATGGAAGCTGGAGGCCCTGCAGGCTGGGTGACCGAATTACAGGGGCTCTGCAACATGGCTGCCTGTGCAACTGAGTTGGACCTGTTTTTGCTGGTGGACTTATCCCCAAAAAGCCTGTGAGAGGGCCCTGTACTGGGAGATCATGGCCTGTCCTGTAGTCCTCCGTGACATCGTATGTTACCCTAGGAGATCAGTTCAGCCTCTGAGAGCGTTAGGCAACAGGCTATGACAGCCAAACACTTTTGCTGAGTCTACTGAGGCTGGTTTTGTCACAGCAAGCAGGCTTGTCTAGACAGAGGTCACGTGCCAAATGGGAGTGGGTTCGATGCCTTTCCTGATTGCTCACTAGTTGAATGATTTCCAGAAAGAGAAGACCATACAACCTGATGCAGACCAAAAGGATCCAGTGGCCTGCATTCAGCATGAAGATGCAGGCACATGGGGCCAGACAGGCCTGCGCCCTAGCCATCCCTTCACAGACGTGGCCAGAGGGGCACAGGGCAGTGTGGAGAACCACAGCCCAAACAGCAGAGCACACGGACAGATCCACAAGTTCCCAGACATTGACCTCCACTCTCGCTCTCCTGCCAGAGCGCAGAGCTGCAGACACGTACTACATCTCCCAGCCCTCCTCCCACCTGCACCCGCAGTCACCCCTGCCGGCGATGCGAACAGATCTCAGCTCTGCTCACCTGCAG